AACTCACAGAACATAAAGAAAATAAAACAAAACTTTCTGAACTTGTTCACCCAACAACAAGAATATACAGGACCAAGAATATAATCAACTCCACAGAAAGCTGGGGATCGAAAAACAGGCCATGGATCTTGCTGAAGTAAGATCTTTAATTCAAGCTAAATTCAATTCCTCCTGCTGAATATAGAGCTCTGGTTTTGCCTCCAGCACCTTCTGCTGCTCTTGAGAGAATGGGGCTGAAAACATGAAGGAAGCTTAATCCTAGTTTTGTTCCCATCCTCCTCTACAAGGAGCAACGCAGGCTAAGGAGGAGGAGGAAACAGAGAGGATGCATAACCCCCTGAGTCAGGTGGGGGCTGACTCAGGGCAGAATGAGGTTTGGTGCAGCAGAGCCCCATTTGGAAAATATGGACATGCCCTTTATAAAACCAAACAAGACTTCAATTCCCAGCCCCATTAAACAACATGACACACAACCAACTGTTCCCTCCCTGCAAAAAAACACATTCTGTCTGAGATTCCCACCTCCACCGCCCCCCTCCCATTTTTAAACTGTTTAAAACAAAGTCTGCATAGTAGACGAAGAAAAACTTTACCGGCCTACCCATCTTGCCCCTCTTCCCAGGAACTCCGGGGATTCCCTAGAAAACAAGCAAAGGGGGTGGGGAGAAAAAGTATTAACATCTGGTGGAAGTCAGAAGGAGACACAAAGTCCAAATCAAAAGAGAAAGGGGATTTTTTTATATAATATTTTTTTAAAAAAAAACCAGAAACAACTGCAGGATTATTATGGGCCAAATTGTCAGCCGCTGGCTGTCAGCTGCAAAAGCAAGCAAATGTGGAGGAAGAGGATCATCACTTAGGCTGAGGAAAGACACACACATACACACACCCAGGGCAAGGAAACTGAGGCATAGCTAAGCAGAAGGAATAATTAAGCTACCGGTCTGGAACCAAACGAAAGCCGAAGCCAAGACTTGCTCAAGAAACTCTGTTTATGTTTCCTATTTGGTGACACACAGAAGCATTAGATCAGCGGCTCCAAATTCCCCCTCATCCATGCAGACGGCACACACACACTTTTCCAGAATCTGCCTTCTCAATAGAGTCCTCTAGGTTTTGCCAACGAAATGGATGAGGTGCAGGAAGAAAAGGGCTTCATTTGGGAATATGGGCACAGTGCTGATGGGGAAGAGCTATTAATTCTAAGACGGGCAAGACCCAGGTTCAAAATCCCTGTCTGGCCTTGAGCCTTGGGCCAGGCACTAACCACCTCTTTCCCTACAGCCCCCTCCCCCACCTCAGGTGTTAGGATAGGCAGTGGAGACCCTCTTGTTAGTTCCACTGCCCTTGGAAGCTTACAGGTGGGGAAGGCCCAGGAGAAGGCCTTCTCTGTGGCATCCCTAAGATGTGGAATTCCCTCCTCACACAGGTGCATCTGGATTATGGCATTTCCCTTGTACAATGTAGTTTTTGTCATATGCAGACTGCCAGACTTACACTGGCCTTTGAGACCTGATATATCAGTAGTTCTCAAAGGGTGTGGCAGGAGACAATGGCAAGTGTGGCAGGAAGATTCAAGGGCAAACAATATTCTATTTTGGGAATGATTCACGTTCTTATCTAGCTGCCTTGTTTATACTTTCTGGCTGCCCCGTGATCATATCATAAAGCAGTTGTGGTCTGTGTTATAAATAAAGTCTTTACCTTTACCTTTACCTATAACTCAAGCACAGCTAGGAGTTGTTTCTTTTTGTTTTTCAATGTACCGTATTTTTCGCTCTATAAGACGCACCAGACCATAAGATGCACCTAGTTTTTGGAGGAGAAAAACAAGAAAAAAAATATTCTGAATCTCAGAAGCCAGAACAACAAGAGGGATCGCTGTGCAGCGAAAGCAGCGATCCCTCTTGCTGTTCTGACTGGGGGGATAGCTGCGCAGCCTGCATTCGCTCCATAAGATGCACACACATTTCCCCTTACTTTTTAGGAGGGAAAAAGTAAGTCTTACAGAGCAAAAAATACGGTATTTCTTATCTATAAAGAAGTTGGTATGGTGCAAGCAAATTTTTATTCTGAAAGTGGCCCAGAGAAAAAAGTCTGAGAACCACTCGCACGTGTGTGTGTGTGTGTGTGTGTGTGTGTGCGCGCACGCGCCCAAATCTTTTAACTGCAATTTGCTTTGACTAACTTTAATATTGCATTTTGCCCTGGACCTCATGATGAAAGGCAGATAGGAAATCTATATACTGTAACGGTAACTGGATAAGGTACCTCATAGGGCTGTTGTAAGGGGGGCAGGACAAAAGGGCTACAGACCAAGGTTGGCCCTGAGCATTTTGCCACTAGAGGCAAACCAGAAAATGCTGCTCCCCAGTCCACCACCTCCTCTGCTGCTGCTGCACACCTGGCAGCAGCAGTGCACTCACAAACAGTGGGTGTGCAGTGGAGGAGGAGCAAGCTGGACTGGCTGCCTTTCCTAGTTATCCAGAACCTGCTGCTATGAGGCAATGGCCTTACCTTGCCTCAAAGGTGGGCTAGCCCAGGTACAGACCCTTTCTGCTCCTTTGAAGAAAGGTTAAACACAGAGGGCCAGGGTGGGAAAGGAGAGCCTTCTTTGGAAAAATAAGCCAGGAGGGGTGATGGAAGGGAAGAAATCTGGTGGCCCCAACACACAGCAGGACTGGCTCACCACGTTTTGAAAAGAAGTGATACAACGCACCATGTTTATATTTGGTAACCATAACATTTCCTTGTTCCATACAGCACCCATTTCCTTCACTTTCAAATGGGGTGGGTGTGGGGCAACGGAGGGTGAACCTCCCCACTGAATTTTAGGGGTGGGGGCAAAATTCAGGGTGGGGTGGCAAAACATGGCAAAGTATGGACCACTCCTCCCGGCAGACCCCTTCCCCGGCTGCCCCACTCACACACTATGAAGCTGTCAAACCCACAATCAGGGGGAAAAATACTTAGGAGGGCACCCCAAATGTGTTACTGATTCTTTGGGGGAGGTTTCCCTTTGCAGTCCAGCTTGTATTCAAACTGGGCTGCAAAGAAAACTCCATCATGAGCAAGGGATTGGCTGCACTAGGAAGTTTCTGATGGGGAACTCCATAGTACAGCTAGTCCCAATGGGACTTAATACCAGTGCTGATCAGGTGATCAGTGCTGGCAGCACATCTTACTTTGGGCAGAATTTGGCCACAGTGAGGAGTTCACAACTGTGCTGGATGTCTGTGGGGTTTATAGGATGGAAACAGAAGCCACCATTATCAAATTTATTCCTCATCAATAAATTAAAATAAAATATCCCCACCTCCAACACACACACACACACACACACACACACACACAGTGTGCATTTCAGTGAACAATAGGAAATAAGGTTCTAAGGAGTAACATTTCCTGGCTCTGGTTTGGTTGCCTTTTAGTATTATTATTATCCACTAAATTTTTATATTGCTCTTCATCCGGGGATCACAGAGCAGTTTATAATTGGCTCTTCCTCACTTTCTTTATAGCGGAGAAAACATTGGATGAAATGCTAGGGGAGGCCGACAGTAGAAGATACCAGGGTGAACCCTTCCATTAGGCTAAGGGAGACAACCGTCTCAGTCAGCTGATTCTGAATGACATGAAAGGGTTGTTTATTCAATAATAAATGGGAAATAAATGAATAATAAAACTGTTTGATAATAAATCAGATCTATAATAATCTTATAATAAATCATATAATAAATAATTATTATCTATTATTATTTATTCAATTTATAAGTGGCTTTCTATGTTAAAAGACTCTAAGCTACTTACAAAACTTTACAAACATAAAAAATACACTTAATTATAAATCAATAGGGTAGTATTCAACTTTTACTCAGAGTACACCCATGGAAATTAATGACCATGAATAAGTTAGGTCCATTAATTCCATTTGGTTTGCTCCGAATAAAAGTTAGTTGAATGCCACCCATAATAAATTAATTGAATAATTGCAACAATAAATAGTAATCATAATAAAATATAAATTAATGTGACTATTATTAATTAATTAGCACTTGCTACATAAAAGGCCTCTAAGTGACTTATTATACTTTAAAAGCATAAAACACAGTATGAAATAAAATAAAATAGGTTAAATTAGTATTATAAAATGCCAGAGAAAGGAAGAGGCATTTATGGGATTTTCAAATGCCACAAGAATGTGGCTGTTTTGGGGTACAATAGACCTTGACTTCTGGGGCACAAGCATGTTGTGCTTCATGCAGAAAAATGTCTTGGGCTGGCAGGCAAAGCAACATGTGCATCTGTCAAAGAAGAGAGAAGATCAAGGCAGCCATCAAGACAGGCAGCGGCGTGGACAACATGAGAAAGACAAGACAGACAGCAGTTTTGGCACAAAGAAGGCAAAAACTCACTCGTTCTCCATCAGCACCGGGCAGCCCAAATAATCCTGGCAGTCCAATGTACCCCTATGGAGGGAAAGGAAAAAACAAAGAGCATTTTGTCTCCTCTGATGCGGTGGGCTGGGGTCAAGTCCTGTCCCTTGGGAACAAGTAAAGCATCTTCCAGCGCTGGTCCAGGGAAGCCGTGATGAAATAAACCTTGGGGCAAGTGTATATGCCCATGGACTGCATGGTGCTGGCTTCCACGATGTAGTCCAAGGGCACATACCCTCACACCAGGGACCATGAGGACTCCAGGAAGGAAGGCTCCAGCCAGCTAGGGCCTTACCTGGGCTGGCTCAGGGTGGACCTGGGAGAAATGGAGCTTCGATCCAGGTTAGCTATGTGTGTGTGCAAAAGTTTCTGCTGCTGGCATTTTGTGTCACAACCCCACCAGGGAGGAAATAACTAAGACCTTCAGGAACCATGGGAGAATACAGCAGGGATGGGGAAGATCTGTAGCCCTCTAGAAGTTGTTGGGTTTCCCATCAGCCACAGCCAGCATGTCAAATGGTCTGGGATGATGCAATTCGGAGCACCAACAACATGTGGAGAAATGCTGGGGTAGCTGAGTCATTAGAGCATGAGACTCTTAATCTCAAGGTTAAGGGTTCGAGCCCCGTGTTGGGCAAAAGATTCCTACATTGCAGGGGGTTGGACTAGGTGACCCTTGTGGTCACTTCCAATCTACAATTCTATGATTCTATATAAAGCTGCCTTGTACCAGGTCAGACTACTAGCCTGTCTAGCAGTTTATCATCTGCAAGGATTCTTGCAGCTCTCCAGGGCGTCAGACAGGGGACATTCCCACCCTACCAGGAGATACCAGGAATGGAACCTGTGACATTCTGAGTGCAAAGCAGATATCTTAACACTGAGCTATGGCCCTTTCCCATAGGGCTCACCCACATCCTTGAGTTTGAGGGTTAAATGCCTTTTTTGTACTGCAGGTAGATGTACTTCACAATGACATATGGAACCCTGGAAACCCAGAGGCTCTTCCATCCTATGTCTAATGTTCTCTCCATACCCAATTTGCAGATTAACTCTGGCCAGCCACCTCCAGTGCCTTCTCATTCACCCAACTAATAATAATAATAATAATAATAATAATAATAATTATTATTATTATTTATTTATTTATACATACCCTGCCCATCTGGCTCTCTCTTGCAGAAACTAACTACTAAAATGACAATGCCCCCTCACTCTTTGAGGATGGAAATGTGTTTGTTATCTCCATCAGACTTTTTTTTTTAAGGACAGCTGGGGGATAGGCTGTGTTGTAGAGCAGCCTGTCATTACAGGATATTAAACAGCTGATCAGCCCCTTCCCCCACCTTCTTCCCTTGTACAAGAATGAAAACCACTGATGGGGTCAACCTTTGTTTATCGCTTGCAATTTTCCCGGTGATGAGAGCCAGCTGGTAGCATTTACTGCTCACAAGGAAAAAGAGCACATGACAACCAGGGAGATGGATTTATTGGCTCAGAGCATCATGTTGATTTAGAATTGCAGTGGAGAGTAGGAGGCAGTTAACCGGAGCTCTGCTTCTTTCAAATAAAAGTGAAGAAGAGGAGGGTGGAATGGAAAAGAGGCAGAAGCTTCTCATAAGTGAACACTCAGGATGAGCCAGCCCAAGTGAGGGCACAAAGCAGTACTGTGCATCAGAAGTGTTGGCCTTTGCATGTGGGTTCAAGATGCTGGTTCACTGTTAGAAGCAGAGGTGTCAAAATTTGGCCCCTTGAGTGGCTCCCTCCTTACAAAGCTAAGCTCTGGCACTAGAAAAGCCCTTCAGGATTAGACCAAAAGTCCACCTAACCCAAGCGGGGGACCAAGACTTCCCCAGGTTGTTTGCTATCACAGCAACTGCAGTCAGGGATAGACTGCCTATGAACATGAAAGTTCCATTTTGTTATCCTGCTAAACCAAGGTACTGGGCCTCAGGCCCAGGGGCCAGATGTGGCCCTCCAGTCTTCTCCGTGGCCCTCTGGACTCTCCCTGGGCCCTGCCCTGTGCTGTCTGCTCAAGTGCTTTGCTGACCTGATGGCATCTTTGAGACTTGCTCATGTCCTTTGCACACTCAGACAGGTGATGGAGCTGTGTGGGGTGCAGTGCAGGTATAAATACCTGGTTTTTGCATACCTGAAATGTATCCTGCACTAAAGGTAAAAATTGCATCTGCTGATCCACCTACCTTTTCCTCTGCTCCCACCCACCACTGGTATGCAGCAGTTGAGCTGAAAACAATTCTCTTTTTTTTTTTTTTTTTTTTTTTTAATAAATTTTTATTAATTTTCCAAACATAAGATAAGAAAGCAAACAATACACAAAACACCGACATACAAACATATAAACATGTATAATTTCATAGCCATTTTTCATAAACCTTACTTTCCGGACTTCCCCATACCTCCCCTTTTCTGCATCCTTGTTTTATATTTCTTCAGCAACTCCTCAATCAACTAATTATTCAATTCAATTTCTTTTAAGTTCTTCTAATATTATTAGTTACAGCTGCAGTTCTCTGTTTCCCAACCCCTTGACATTTTAACATTCCTGAATTTTACAACAAGTTCTAAGATAAACTTTAAATTTCTTCCAATCTTTCCCCTGGTCACGGATTCTGCCAGTCAATTCGGCCAGTCCCATATAGTCGATCACCTTCGTCTGCCATTCTTCCAGTGTGGGTAGTTGTTGTGTCTTCCAATACTTTGCTAGAAGAATCCTTGCTGCTGTTGTCGCATACATAAACGTCCTGTCCTTCCTTCTCACCAATTGGCCGACAATGCCCAAGAGAAAAGCCTCTGGTTTTTTAGGGAAGGTCCATTTAAGAACCTTCTTAATTTCATTATAGATCATTTCCCAAAAGCTTTTATCCTCGGGCAGGTCCACCAAAGGTGATAAAAAGTACCTTCAGTCTCATTACATTTCCAACATTTGTTATTGGGCAGATGATAAATTTTTGCAAGCTTGACTGGGGTCATGTACCACCTATACATCATTTTCATAATGTTTTCTCTTAAGGCATTACATGCCGTAAATTTAATACCGGTGGTCCACAACTGTTCCCAGTCAGCAAACATAATGTTATGACCGATATCTTGTGCCCATTTTATCATAGCTGATTTCACCGTTTCATCCTGTGTATTCCATTTCAACAGCAGATTATACATTCTCGACAGATTCTTAGTATTGGGTTCTAACAGTTCTGTTTCCAATTTTGACCTCTCCATCTGGAAACCTATTTTCCTGTCCTGTTTAAATGTCTCGTTTATCTGAAGGTAGTGCAACCAATCTCGCACTTTGGACTTTAATTTCTCATAGCTCTGTAATTTAACTTTTCCCCATCTTGTTCTAGAATTTCACAATATTTTGGCCATTTAGACTCCATATTAAGTTTTTTCACCTCTTTAGCTTCCATTGGTGACAACCACCTGGGAGTTTTACTTTCCAATAGATCTTTATACCGAATCCAAACATTGTATAATGCTTTCCTAACAATATGGTTTTTGAAACCTTTATGCTGTTTTACCTTATCATACCATATATATGCATGCCAACCAAATCTATTATCAAACCCTTCTAGATCCAAAATATCTGTATTCTCAAGAAGTAGCCACTGTTTCAACCAGCAGAAAGCCGCCGATTCATAGTAGAGTCTTAAGTCCGGCAGGGCAAACCCCCCTCTATCTTTAGCATCAGTTAGATTCTTAAATTTTATTCTGGGCTTTTTGCCCTGCCAGACAAATTTAGATATATCTTTCTGCCACTTCTTGAAACAGTCCATCTTGTCCAAAATCTGCAGTGTCTGAAATAAAAACAACATTCTAGGCAATACATTCATCTTGATAACAGCAATTCGGCCTAACAAAGAAAGTTTCAACCTTGACCATATTTCTAGATCCTTCTTTACCTCTGTCCAACATTTATCATAATTGTCCTTAAATAAATTCACATTCTTAGATGTTAAGTTTACCCCCAGGTACTTTACTTTTTTCGTTATCACTAGTCCTGTTTCATTCTGAAACTTCTCTTTTTCGGCCAATGTTAAATTTTTATCCAACACTTTCGTTTTCTGTTTGTTCAGTTTAAATCCTGCTACTTGACCAAATATCTCAATTAGTTCTAATACTCTTTTAGTACTAGTATCTGGCTGTTGCAAGGTCAATACTAGGTCATCTGCAAATGCCCTTAACTTGTACTGTTTGGCTCCGACTTGTACTCCTTTAACCAACTGGTCTCCTCTAATCATATTTAACAAAACCTCCAGGACTAATATAAACAATAGAGGGGATATTGGGCACCCCTGTCGTGTACCTTTTTCTATAGGTATTTCTTCCGTTACCACATTGTTTACAATTAACTTTGCTTTTTGTTTAGAGTATATTGCACCTATACCATTTTCAAACCCTTGACCTACCCCCATCCCTTGGAGATTCTTCTTCATAAAACTCCAACCAATATTGTCAAAGGCTTTCTCCGCGTCCACAAAAATTAAAACAGCCTTCCTATTAATGTCCACTTCTAACAGTTCCAAAATGTCTATAATGTTCCTCACATTGTCCGACATATATCTCCCTGGAAGAAAGCCAGTTTGGTCTTTATGAATCTCCTACAACACTCTCTTCAGTCTTTTTGCCATAATGTCCGCAAAATTTTGTAATCCACATTAAGTAATGATATAGGGCGGTAGTTTTTAACCTGGTTCTTTTCAGTCTCAGTTTTCGGTATAAGTGAGATAAAAGCTTCTTTCCACGACTCTGGTGCCTTTTTCCCTCCAAAATTTCGTTACATACTTCCTTCAGTGGTTGTACTAACCATTCCTTCAACACTTTATAGTATCTGGCGGTCAAACCATCTGGTCCTGGAGCTTTTCCCAATTGCATCTTCTGAATGGCACCCTCTATTTCTTGTCCTGTTATTTTCTCATTCAAAATCCTTCTGCTTTGCTCTGAAATTTTTGGTAATCCATGTTTCTTAACAAATTCTTCTATTTCCTGTTCATTAACTGGCCCTTGTGCATATAATTTCCTGAAATAAGCTTGAAAACAATTACTTATCTCATTTGGTTTGTGGATAATCTTTCCGTCCACTTCTAAACTTGTCACAGTGTTCAATTTTTGCCTCTTTTTCAATTGCCATGACAGAAATTTCCCACATTTATCTGCTGATTCAAATGTCTTTTGTCTCATTTGCTTTATTTTCCATTCTATCTCTTGATTCATCAATTCCATATATTGCACCTGATAGTACTTTATTTCTTTCAGAATCTCATGAGACTTTGGTTTAGACCTCAATTTCTTTTCACCTTCTTTTATTTTTTCCAGAATTTTTCCTTTCCTTTCATTTTGATTTTTCCTTTTATGGAGTTCTGTTGTATTAGGAAACCTCGCATCACGGCCTTACTTGCGTCCCAAATTATTCTTTTTTCCACTTCTGTTCTCAAATTTATCTCAAAATAATCTTTCACTGTTTTTTGGGCCTTCTTGTAAATCTCTTCATCTCTGAATAGGGTGTCATTCATTCTCCATCTGAAGGATCCAGTTGTTGTAAGTTTCATCTCCATCTTTACAGCATTATGGTCGGAGCAAGTCTTTGAGCAGATTTCTACCTTTTTAATCCTTGGC